AAAGAGACAAAAAAGAGAGAGGGAGGAAGACAAGCGGTTGATTGAGTGGAGGGGAGAGAGTAAGTGGGAGGAGGGGGCGGAGAGAGACAGAGAGAGAGTGTGATTGCTTGTAAGGAAGAGACTGAAACTGGATGAGAGAATTTAGATGTAATTGAAGAGCTTTTCTAATGGAAACGTCCTCGTCATGAGGAGAAGAGAGAAACTCTCAAATACGTGATGTAGTCATAATTTATGACGTAATAAGATGAACACCAATATTCCAAAATAGTAGGTTCTCTATATCCGCTCCGTAAAATACCAATCCAGGATTCTATCGGCATTTGCACAATAGATTTGAGTTCTTTGCTTTGAATTTAGAAGACATGACTTCGATAAGCGGGTGTAACTGAGTATAGACGCATAAATTATTCCTTTGATCTTGCATCCAACTCAGTACGTATTGCGAATTAAACTATATGAAAGTGTGTAGTTTAACGGCCCTGGCAAAACTGTCGGGTTATTTGAGAGGCGGAACCTCCGTCTTTAGCGTCCAGATCCGATAGGACCAATCCAGATAAGAAAATACGCGTAAAGTGCCTTTTCCGAAGACAAAACGTCAGTCCAAGCTCAGCTTCAAATCCCCGATCCCACTACGCCGCAACTACGAGCCTACGAGCCCGGTACCATTACCACTAGACTATTGACAACACATTTTGGGTTGGTCCTGACAAGCTGGGACAAAGCAGCCAGCCTCCTAAATTGCCCACACTGCTTCTATGGGGGCGTACATTGTTTACAATCATGTTATCGATAGGACAATTATAGACCAAAGGTATAGCTAGACAACAGATAGAAACAGCATTGCGATAGGAAAGACGAAGGCCCATCTGTAGCACCCTCAAACTGCCGGTTCATCATCAGACTGCGTAGGTGGGATAGTGGAGAGGACTACAAACAAAGTTAAAGAGAGACTAAAGCGAGGTTATCTACGGGGCACAAGAAATGTCGAGTGTTTAGCCAACAGGTCGTGAACTTGTAGAAGTTCTGGAGACCGGAAGTGCCATGAGAGATCGTGCTCATGAAATATTCAAACGATGAATGGAGGAACTAAAGGAGTCATTTGTGAATTTCGGCGCCCTGGTTCATTGTGCACACTACTTCACAGTGCATAATTAAATACTGTAGTTGGAATCTAATCAACGGTGCGTTCATGATGCGTATGCAAGCGATCGTTGTGACGACAAGAGAAAATGAATACAAGTATCCCGACACTTCAGTGGCTGGTTTCATCCCTCCAACTTTCATCCATTATTTCAAAAATACAAAAACTACGATTATTTGTAATTTAAAAATAATAAATTAGTTTGTGAAATACTACGAAACAAAACGTTTTGAAATTGGGTCGTGAAAGATAAAAAAGAAGTGAATGGAGGTGTCTGCAGACAAGGGATTTTTTTTACTTTCTTTCCATTCACATGCCTAGTGTTCAGACACAGGTGTGATAGAAGCGTATTACGTTCACATTTCTATGTCTCAGTTCATTTTGTTTTTAACAGATTAATTTCCATTTCATCGGCCACTCTTTAAACGCAACGGAATCAACAGATTTGAAATTTTTATTGCAGTTTTGAAATGTGCAGTATTGGTTGTATCTGCTCAAGAAACATTTGTCAATATTCAAATTATAAATGTTTAAAAAGGCAGGAACATATAATATTATATATATATATATATATATATATATATATATATATATATATATACATTATATATATTTGTTAGAAGAATGAACACTTGTATTTTTTTCTCTCCTGGATTTTCTTGCTTTCTGACCTTAGAACAATTTTACAGCTTTCTGACAATTTGTTTTAAATTGAACACCATGGAACGTCGGTGTAGTTACTTTGTTTTGTTTTTGGCTATTTCATTAAACTTGTAATAAAGCCGAAAATACCATTTTAGCATAATACCTGACATAGACTGACAGACTGACAACGATGCACGCCAGGAGACTGATAGATAAACAGAAATGGAAAAACTAAAATAAGGTCGCAAAGAGAGACTACTAGATCTAGACATGGCCAACGTGCTTCTACCGACGAAGGGTCGGTTGAAGACTCAAAGAACAGAAAGTGCATCGTCACCGGCATTTATGATATGTCAAAATTCCGAATCAATCGATAACCTAGCTTGTTGTGCAGTTTGATGAGACGCATCCATTGGTCTTAGCCTCACTCCTGTGCTTGAAATAGTAACAAATTGAGACGAATTTGATATTTTGTATTATGATAACATTTTGAGAGAAATAAAATAGTTTTTTGGTTCTAATGAAAACCTCGTATTTTGACATACGACAGTGGTGAATGACGGCGACGATATACATGTATCTTGAAAGAGATCGATATATAAAGGGGGGGGGGTCATAAAAATGAAATTCCCTTTCACTATAGTTTTCTTATTTTATCGCCTATCTAACCCTGGCCAAACTAATTAAATTGAACGTGTTTTCCAAAATAACCATTTCCATGAATGCTAGCTTCCTCTCTTTGAAGATTCGAAACAGGGTTGCAATATAAAAGCTCATACCACTCACAACAAGACATGTGACTCTTTAAATGAGATAAAAGCATACCTTCCCCAGAAGTACATGTCGTTGTGACATCCAAATAAAATCATTTTGTGTGTGGGTTACTAAAGTATGTGAACGATTGACTTCGTTTGTATACAGGAGAGAAAGCAAAGGAAAAAACAACACATTTTAAATAACTTCAATTAGACATGAAACAATATCTTTTATAGGCACAAGTGGTGACATCAATAAAACTACTCGTGGATTGTCAGGAACGCTGTTTTTAGCTATTGTAACCATTCATTTTTGTAGTGCACTATCTTTGGCCTCATATAAACCCTATTAATACTGCTCGCGGATACTGGCAAAATAACATAGTAGAAACAAACCGTTTTCCCTTTATTCTGTTACTTGTCCTACAACTCTTTTGAGGGGTTTTTAGAGCTGAATGTTTCTTCGGTGGGGGTGGGGTATGGTGAGAATGGGGAAATGGGGAAGGGGTGTGTAGGGGGGGGGGTGGTATGCTAAGAGGTAGACAGAAGCGCTTCCCCTTTTCTCTTCCCTCGGCCTCCTTTTGGACCAACTATAATATGACACCAGGAATTGCTTCATTGAATCCCTGTCTGTTTGAGCTTCATAAAATGTTGACCTTTTAAAGCTTCTTTGGTTTCAAATTGAATTTCGCACATCATTACATTTTGGCAGAAACGGAGAGGAGACACTCATTATTTATTAATGATAAGGAAGGGTCTAGCCAAGAGCTTCCACGCTTTGTAATGGGATTGGTAATGCTTAAGCTTAACTATAAATCAAATTGTGGCATTACCCAGCAAGTGCGTTAGTTGAGTGAATATATCTCAAATTGGTGGTTGGTTTACTTTTTTAATAGCTGTGATATCCTTTGCTTGAACAAAGATAATTAACTATTAGTAATTGCGAGTGCTTAACTCTCAAGATTGTTCAATAGATCGGAAATCTGAATCAAAAGTCTTTACTGATTCGGATCTCGACCCAAGTATGGTGAAGCCTTCAAAATTCCACAAACACCCAAAGTCAAAAATGGCCTATTAGGGGTTAGAACAATGACTACCTGCACCATCAGCCAGCACATTGCCAACTGTGCTAACGGCCGGCCCTTACGGGATAAATAGTCTGGTAGGGTAAAAACAGTGTAAGAAGAACTGGTGAAGAGAAATACTGCTTTGATATTTTTGACATGCTTTGGACGATGGAAAAATGCATGGTGAGCCGTTCACAATACGAAAGAAAATGTTATACAGAATAGAACCCGTTATGCGATTTTGTTTAAGTAGTTTTTCTTTCTTCTTTTTTTAAAATCTCAAGTCTGGTGTGGGATTTCAGCATAAAGAAAAGTGTGTGCTTTGTCTTTTTAACCGCGGTAAGATTGCTGATCGTTGTTCATAAAACTATCGCCACAGGCACCGTTGAGGACACCGAGGAAAGGTATGCGTAGATAGATAGATAGATAGATAGATAGATAGATAGATAGATAGATAGATAGATAGGTGCCGGCACAAAACGCATACCCAACATTATCACCAACACCGTCAAAGGGGAGCCAATGTTCCCTATGGCCAGCTTTCTAGGCCGTTTTCATCGCGAGTTGGCGTCTCTAAGAACACGGACTGAGTCCGTGAGGTCGACTTGTGTAAGATTCCCAGAGCGTTCCAGGTTTCGTCCGTACGCACCAGCAGACTTAGGGTCATTTCTTAGATAATTCAAAACCGCGGGCTGATGAATAATATGCTGCGGGGTCCCCAAGTACTTTCCCAGGGGGGCTCGTACGCATAAATATTAACCATTTTAGGTTACGTTGCTCTGAATCGGTAAAGAGAACGTAATAAAAAGTCGGGGAAATTACTGAGAGAGGTGGAAGGAAAGTGAAAAAGAAGTAACCAAAAAAATGGATGTGTCATGACTCTTTAAATTTTTTTCTGAGATTTGCGGGTGAGGGGAGGTCGGGTTTTTTTTGTTTACTGGTTGTTTTTTGTTTGTTTGTTGTTTATGTTGGGGAGGGGGGGGGGTGGCAGAGTAAGGTAATTCATCCATACACTTCTGTTGATGTAATAATATTATGAATCTTAAAATGACTACCAGCTAACGTCTGAAAATACAGATGAAACAGTTTTAAAGTAGACGAAAGGGATATAGGAGTTTGGAAATAAAAGTAAAAGAAAGAAGAGAAAGTAAAAAAACGGAGCTGTCTTAAAGCACTTGCCAATTCAACAAGTACTCGTTCTACGTACTATAAATGCACTTTTGTAATAGTGTGTATGCCCGCCGTTCGCATCATCTTCAGTGACTAGGCTGGAATACGACTTGGAATTATTGTAGACTCCACTCAGGTTCAATTACGCAGTTCAAATGCACTCTATGGTGCGATTAACATGCAATATGCATGTAAGCTAACCCATGCCGTGTTGGTACTCACCTATCTTGAGCAGCTCCGGTAGGCAGCGCGCGCAGTGCACCAAGGCCAGGCCTATGACCAGGGTGGACAGACGCTTCCAATGTGTGCTGGTCATTCTCTGACCGCTAATGAGCGCTCGCGCCCCGGGGGCCAGTCACCTCACTGGACTGCGCATGCGCGACCCCCGGGCCAGAGCGGACTCGGCGGAGGTGACGCCTATGGATATCCAAGCGAGAAAAATCCGGACGAATGTATCCACATGAAATTCACACTGTAGCCATATCTGGGTTCCTCACACTGGGAAAAAGAAAGAAATAACAATATCAGAACAAAAGTTAATACTATAGTTTTGGTTTGGTTTTCAACGACACCGTCAGCTCAGTTCTTCCGGGATGCCATAAGGTGACAAAACGACTGTTTCATTCACAGCAGTTCCGAGATAAAGGCTTTTTTCAGTGTAACCATTAATCTTAAAAACAGCTCTTCCGAAATTTGATTTTTAATTTATTTTAAAAGTAGTCACCGTTTAACTTTGTTTTTGTTTTTGTTTTTACACAAGTACGGTAACTGATTGGGCTTTCGATTTAGCCATTCTTTTTACAAATTGGGGCCATAAATTTTAAAAAGGCGTTTTGTCAGCAGACAGTAGAGTTGGTATCATGTTTTGACATGATGTGGTGGGGGTTTCCGTTGTTATGCCTATCCCCGGTGAGGCGTTCATTAGATATTTTGGGAAATTTTAAAGCCCTCCTGTCATTTGGCTCATTCCTATCGGAGATAATCGTTGAAGTTGAGGGTCCTCCTTATCAAGAGAGTTAAACTGTTGAAAAGTACGTTAAGCCAACACCGTACGAAATGCGTTTTAATACAGAAATTCTCAAGGAAGTGTTACAGTAACTTTTAAAAACTTCATTTCCACTATTTGTGGTTAAGTGTCCCTTGTACAAGATGTACTGAACAAGAACATATTGACAGAGTACACCACTGTATACTGAGTTCCTATCTTTATTTTGTTTTGTTAATTTTTTTTTGGGGGGGGGTGCGAACTGTGTATACAACTCGGCCCTGAGGGGAAGTTTACAAAACTGAAAAAGGACGTTTCCACATTATATTTCTGAGGCATTTCGCTGATGACTTCTACTCAGCCACCTTGCTCGGCGTATATTCTGATTAAAACCTTTTCCTCTAAAGTCAAATACATCTGGACGAATCAGATACCAGTTTAAATGCAAGATCTGGAGAATATATGAAGGCATCATTTATCATCAAAGAGGAGAGCTGAAATGATATTTTTGAAATGTGAGACAATTCAGAATATTCCGTCTCCATGTGTCAGTAACGTTTTTTGGTAATTGCTCTTATTTGTTTTAGTTTGGCATTTCTCTTTATAAAGACGTACATTCTAGGAATCCTGCGTGTATGCAGAACGATAACAAGTCAAGACAACAGTAACACATAAGAGGAATTACACCGATGAGCGTCACGGAGCCCCCCAGGCAGACGGAATCCCCTTGAGAGAGCCGTTACTGGAAGTTACACCGAACGCAGAAACATCGGCCAACTTTTCTTCCTCGGTAGCACCTTGACAAATATCCAGTGTGCTTCTGTATTGTCAGGGTGCTTACTTTTATTTATTTTACATTTATCGGTTTAATGCTGTGGCAACACAAACGTTATTAGTTAGACTTCGATATTACTTGAATCTAATATCAATAATATTCGTAGCTTACAAAAGCGATAATGGGTAAGTGGGAGTTCCATGAAAAAATTGTAACAAATTCACAATTCTAAAGAGAAGTGCGTAAGCGAGTACGAAAATTGATAAATGACTTGAACATGGTCAAGTATTTTTAGACTACAAAATCATGATAGCCACTTCAATTCCGCTCAGGCAACTGATTTTTTTTTTTATTTGGGGAGGGGGGGGGCTGCAGTGACTATGTGAATAGTGAGTTTAGACTCAAAAGTTATGTCAAACAGGAATTGGTAACACAGGGTTCACATGCGTGATCAGTTTGGTGTTTCCTTGAGCAAGATAAGACAAACCCAGCTAATTTTTTTCTTTTAATCAGGGCGCCACAGTGGCGACCAGCAATTGCATGGTTTGAAATTGTTCTGCATTTGTGTCATATTGTGTATTTTTGTGTTTGCATTTATGTAAGTATATATTTCTAATTATGTAAAGTATGTGAGAAAGTTTGCCATTGTCACCCAAATTTCCCTACGGGGGTCAATAAAATGTTATTTGTTTCATTTATTTTAGGCGCTTCGTTGTCGCACGCAGGACATCAAAGATCGAGTCTCCAGTTGGGAAAAAATGTTCATCAAGTGTTTTCGTCTATTTGCTGGGATGTGTGGCATCCGTCTCAGCCCAGTCGGTCATGACAGGCAGGGTTGGAAGCTTGTCTCCTGAATGATCCTCACAGAGTCAATACGGTTGTAGAAACACCTACATTAAACAAAAAATTCAAATTCTACAATACTAAGTCGTGTAGTATGCATAATGTATTTCTTATTTAGACGTCTAGAAAAGGTAAGAACACTCAGTTCTGTATAAAGTTTGCTAGAATAAATGTAGTACTAAAATCTTTCCTCTTCATTACCATAGTCTTTCAGAGTTTGGGGATGGAGATGGATAACAATGAACTAGATATTTGTACTATGAATTTCCAGTAAAGAACCGTTCTTACGGAAGTATGACTTGTCGCAGTGCGTGGCGTGTATTAATTTTAACGTTTTGTGCATTGTGTTATGTTCCAAGAAAGAGCACTTTCTTTCTGTAGACATCTGTAGATAAACTTAGGAAACAGCATAATACACACAGATCAATACATATTCACGCTCACATAACCATCGCGGCCAAGATTAAGGGATACAATGTCCTGCGACGGGATCGGAATGCCTTTAGCCCATATTGATCCTTGAAGATTGTATATTTGCACTGTACTTCAGACATTGCAAGAAATGGGCATGTGCCAGGCTACAGAGGTAAACAAAATCAGCGCGATTGAGAAGCTGAGAGCAGCGATTCTGTATCGACCCGAATCCCCCCCCCCCCCAACCTCCTGGCCTTCCACGATTCAAGAGACCATTCAGCCCGAAGCTGTCTCCGACATCAATGCCGGACATTTGTTTTATGGCGGGCGTTTAGCGTCGTAATCAAAGTAATAAATTAACAGGGATAAAGAAGGGGCAACCAGTAAGGGGGCGGAAAGATTTCGTCGAATTAGGAGAGGAATTAATTACAAGGTTCTTCCTGAGCACTTGAGTGCATAATACCGTTCCAGATCAGATGCTCTTGAGGCCAATAAAGAGTTCTAATATTATTATTAGAACACAAAAAAGATACAAGTTTTTTTTTCTTCCAACTGGTTTCTACAGAATTCTTCTGATTATTTCTATGAATCTATTTTTTATCAGAGTGGAGCTTTTTATTACATCACTGACACAACAGCCTAATAAGGAAAGCAGAAAAAATGGTTTACAAAGAATCCTTAATTCTTTTCAGAGTGAAGCTTTTTTTTATTATGATATCATTAACAGAAGACAAGTCTTATAGGGACTTTAAGAGAAAAACGTTTGATAGGAGGATGCGAAGGTCAATTTCAGAGACTCTTTTTTGTGTAGGTTTTACTCGGAATTTATCTATCTTTGGTGTTAGTTGTTTTTGAATACAGAAAACAGGTAAGATTCTCAGAAGGCAAATTCAAAGGCAGAGTGGCCTATCTAATGAAGTACTGGCGTTTGTAGCGTACTGATAAAGTTCTTCGTGCCGTTACATTCTGAAGGCGTGAGTTCGATTTCCTGGCGAGAAAGTCAGGTTCGAAAAATCCCCTTTTTTTTTTTGGGGGGGGGGTCTTCTTTGTTATACTCGAACGCGGTATCCCAGTAAGTTCACGCTTGATAAAAACAGGAGCAGATTCAAACCAACCAGCCACCCATAGAATCGAATTTATGTCTACTGGGGTGTGAAACGCTGATATGAAATACTAGTAAACCAACTGAAACAGTGAGGGATTTGGAGAGTCTGACACACGGCCACGTTTCACGTTATGGTAAATCTTCCAGTAAATTAATTTTTCATATGCCCTTGTGTCTACCAATTTGTTAACAAAAGATAGAAGCTTTTTATGTGGCTACTATCGTTTCGAAGGAAATACAGGCATACACACGCATAAACACGTCATACCACACACAATACTCACTTTCCCGTATAATTGTCTGATAGGGATGAGAAAAACGTATTATTTATAATTTGACTGATTAAATGAAAAGCAATATGATTTGGAAGCGCCCAGAAAGAGATATCGAAATGTATGAAGGCAGAGTATGTTATACTATATGGAAGCAGCTTCAGAAAATCATTTCTTATGTACATACTTAGAGTAAATTGGCAAAGAGAATCCAAAAGTGCAGAACATGTTTAGGGATGTAAATTATTGTTCTATTTAATGTCTGTGCTTGGCCTTCAGAAAAAAATTTGAAACAAATATGATGTCTATAAAAATAGATTCACCTTGACTTTATTGGCAAAAATAGCAACCATTTTTATTAATAATAATATTATGTTCTTTTGAATCAGCCCGTTTTTCACTGCTTCAGAAACTCGTGCCAATTTGAACCACGTTTCTAAATTCCCACCCCTGTTTACTGGACTTAGGTTTCGAGACCAATCTCCATAAAGACTCTCCAAAACAGCCTATCTCTGCTGATTCGTTACATTCGCTTTGCGTCAACATTTCCTTACTAAAACATAAATCAATCGGTTACTGCTATTTTCTGGAGCTCAACACTTTTACTTCTATTTTATGACATAGCTCGCCTCATCTCCTCGCTCACTTTGAGGCCTCACGTTCGTCTTTATTACCCTTAGGAATAAAAAATAAGAAAACTTTTTTTTTCTTCTACATGGCCTCCCGCTTTCTTTTCCCAGAAGTTATACAATTAATGTCGACAGGCGAGGTGGTCTGGCCGTATAACGCAGGGGCCTACAACTCATCTTCTGTCTCCAGCTATTCACGATGTCTTGAAAGATAATGTTGTTTGGTTTTCTAATGTGATTTAAAACCCCTTCTCTTCTCACCAAGGGTACGTGGAAAGGCTCAATACCAGCGTGTGTGCAAACACAAAAGCAGATACCCTAAATCATACAGACACACAAACACTCATACACACATACACATACACACACACAAACACACACACACACACACACACACACACACACACACACACAAACACGCGTGCGCGCGCACACACTCACACACAGGCATTCTCACACACACAAACACACTCAC